CTTGCAGAATGCGTAGTTAAGATTGTGGAACTGTTATAGAACCCTTACCAACAGGGTCCATCTACCCAAAAACCATATTATGGGTGGTCTTTTGGCACCTAATTCCATCGTGGTCGTATGTATGGACCCTCTGGTTTACAATCCCTTACAAAACCGAAAGTTGTTCATCTCGCACCTGGCTCCAGCCGCCTGGAGCCGCGCACAGGTCGGCGACATTGCGCACCTGTCTCCAAGGCATTCGGGTATAGAACGCTATCGGAGAACATCCCAACCTTGATTCATCAGTCGCATCCTTACCGTGTCAAATCTGATCTTAAGTTTCCATCTTTAAAAGGTTCGTGGCTCGACGAAGTTTTCCTCCCGCACTCTGGGTCCTGCGTTTGGCTCGCCCGGAGCGTCCAATATCCCTAAGCCCTAAATAAGCCTTAAAACCGTATGAAATGAGCCCAGAACCCAAACCCCTGAACCAAAACCCTAAACCTTAACCCTTTAACCCCATATCGGGTTAGAACCCTAAACCCTAAACCACCCTAAACCCTAAACTCTCCACCGTGCTTTTTTTTCGTCTCTGGGCTCGGCACCCCCGAGAGCAGGTCGATCTCGTCGTCGATCCTCGGATGCCGAAGTGCTCCCGGGCTCGTACGGGGCAGCTTTGGGTTTAGGGATCCTTTCAGGGTTCCGTAATATAAAGGGGTCTATAAGGGAGGGTCACTATTCGGAGTTCGGCAAGGGGTCCGAAATAATTAGAAATGGGCTTCGGGGCATGTTGTACTCTAAACATAGAGGGACCATAGGTGGAGTAAGCCTGGGGATTGTGAGGGTTTCTCTTGATGGTTTAGGGGACTCTCGAAGCCGAGCTACATATGAGCATGTGATGTATGAATGAATGATGGCTTCTCTACGATATCGTGCAGGGATAGTAGCTCGAAGGCCAGAACGTAGGTGGTGTCCTAAATTCCATGCTTCCCTACAAGACAGATAGCCCAGTTGACAACAAAGCACAGATCATTCGCAAGCACTATGCCCACTATGCCGCGACAGCTATCGTCACAGTAGTACTATGACTCGCAGCTGGCTTCTTGTGAGTCGCGGCGATTGCCAACCTCAACCGCTGAACTCCTTGAACCTTGAAACCCCAACTGCCCTAACTGCCCAATCACGCACCCATTCGTTCCAGGTGCCAGTCCTGAAGGCAAACCCCCCAACTCCCAGAACGTAACCCACGCACGAAACCATGAAATTATTGTCACATCTATATAGCATGCCCACTCCTCTTCCCAGCTAGTTTTCGTAGGCCCTAAACGCAAAACCCCATCCGATGCATGTGCAGGGCTCTGCATCAGCTTGAAAGCCGATCGCGCACGGAAGCCCTCCTGAGAAGCTGTGTTTTTTTTCCTCTCTCTCTCTCTATATATATCTCTCTCGCTCTCTCTCTCCTCTCATCACAAGGTCCAGGATTCCGGGAAGTCGATCTGGGGTCCAAGACCCCCCAATGTGGTCTTATGGCACTTATGTATGGTATAGTGGTAAGTACTCAAGCTACGCCAGAACTTCGCCACGACGGGTACATCGTGGGGTGTTTTGCCGCGGCCTACCTTCTGGATTGGCTCTTGTCCACGCGGGTCGACGGGTGAACTCTAAGGGCTTTAGGACTTTAGGGCCTTCATCTGTCGGCTCACACGGAGGGCTACTTGGCATCATTACCAAGACTGCTTTATGTTAAACATGTTGAGGGCTACTGGTTAACCTTCTCAGTTTCTCGAAGAGTCCGAAATTTCACAAGTCCTTGACTCCAGTCTTCCTTCGGGCCTTTGAGGCTGTCCCCATTGGATCGCCCTGACTCCACCTTCGCTCGTCTTTGACGCTCCAGAAGCATCCCCTGGAGCTCCTTCTTCGCTTCCCGGTAGTAAACATCGCGCTTGTCCTTCGTCCGGTGCCGATGTGCTTGTATAGAGGAATTCGTGAGAAAGCGGCGCACAAAATCTTCTGTAGTTTTAGGACATCCAAGTCACGGCTGCTCTAGGTCAAAGAACAGAACTTCTGTTTATAAGCTGCCATATGCACCCTACTCGGCTTTGCTAGAAACTAGCTGCAGAGCAACTGCGCCCTGAACCTTGTCATGCCAGGGACATAGGGCTGAAGCTTACCTGCCCCGGCTGTCGGACCTGTCCACGAGCGATCAAACCTTTAGAAGGCTCAGCAGCTACAACTCGCGCAGCGATACCAACTCCCGAACCCCGAAGTGTCCGACTCCTACATCCTCAAAGCTATCTCAAACCTTACGCCTTACACTGAAATCCCTAATTAAACCCCGAACCCTAGAAACCTCCCTTCCATCCCACCTTGGAGAGGCGCCCCATGGTCAAAGGACAGCGTGCGCCATGGGAGAAAAGGTCTGGAAAGCCGGACCCAGAGACTCCAATATCCTTTAATTCAGGGATACACCTTAAATCATATTAGGGATCCTGTTATAATTTAAGGATTGGAGTCTCGTACCAAAGTCAGAGTTTTGGGGTCTCGTAGTCCCTACCGGCTGAGTCCTAGAGAATCGTGAAGTCGATTGCCTTAAGTATACCTTGCGCCCTCAGGCGTGGGCTACGTAGAGCTAAGGGTAGAAACTTCAGAAGGTCTTGGCATTCCAGCTTCGAAGCTTCAGAGCGCAGAAGCCAAGTGTGATACAATGGGCTCAGGGCCATCCACGCCGGGTCGAAGATCGAAGTGGCAGTGGGAGAACTTCCTGGTAGAACTGGTTGCACCGGTTAGAACGTGGTGGTAGCAGTCGTGGTCATAGAACAGAAGCCCAGCAGAATAGCTGCAGCAGTGGCTGCACACATGTTGTACCTCTCAAAATGAAGGTCCCCTTTCGGACTCCACTAGAAGACGACTTCAGCCTTGTAAAAACCGTTGGCCACGGAAAAAAATCTCAAACCCCAACATACATGGAGCTCAGGCCGGCGTTGTCGGGCTCCTACTTCAAGGCAAAGAGGTCTGCATCCGTCAGACACTCTGATTGCTAAGACTCCTTCCAAGCAGCCTAACAGCAGGTAAAATTTATCGTCTTCGAACTAGGGAATGGAGTTCTACAGGCTTTCGGGTTTCTGGGACGGTAGGGTTCTGATCTCATCGGTTTGAAACACTAGGGGCCCTTAGGGGTACTTAGCCTGATTGGGTGGTGCAGTGCTTTGGCTTCTGGCACTTTCCTCTTTCAAGACCCCAGACCTTAAAGAGGACATGTATGAAGTGCTTTAAGGCTCACCCATCATGGCTTTCTCCCACAGAGAGCGGGAGCCAACTAATAATAAATCAATACGACTATGTCAGAACCAAATAGGAACACTGCGATTGCAATTTAGATGATGGCAACTTGCGGCTACGGGCTATAATTAGCATACAGGAGGCAAAGTAGAAGTAGAACGCGCAAAACCCCAAACCCTGTGATGTATGAGATTACAAACTTCGATACACTCCGCCTCCGATCTACCACCGCCGACGAACAACATCCCCTCCCTCATAGGTTGAGCCGACACCCGATGCACGCCAGGACGCAGTACATGACCAGAAGTTACAAGTAGAAGACCGGAGTCCACTTCCCCTCCGTTGCTCGAACGACAACGGCCAACAAGAGAGCAGCGCTTAGCACAACCTCTTCTCTCATCTGCCGAGTAACACCCAATAGTAAGCGCCTAAACTTACAAGCCTCAGGCTTTCGGAGCCTTTCCTAAACCCTGAAGCCTTGAACCTTAAGATTCGACGTAGGATCCTCGCAGCTCAATGCCCCTCATCTCATCTTTCTGCACACGCTCGCACGGGGTAGAGACCACGCAATGTCTCGTCTGCGCGTCTCAGGGACGTTGTGGCCTCCCGCTTAGAGTATGGTTTCAGGATGTTTCCGTGATTCTGAGGAGCTCCAGGCCCCAGCAGGAATCAGATCAAAACAAACATTCATCATCTTCGTCAGCATACCTTTTCGTCTCCCTCTAAACGGCCTATCAACATACCATCAAGGGCATTTTCTGACTCCCTTGCATTTGCGGAATCTGCTATGGTTTCTGAAGCAATTCTACATGCACAGCATTCGACCGGAGTGGCCGTTGTCCTTGGCCAACAAACACCTATTCGCACGAACTATCGCAGCACTGTTTTAGAACGGTGGTGACCACGACATGTGCCCGGTTACTGCGGACGGGAAGCCAGTCGCACCAAAGGCTAAAGGCACGCTTACTTACCTTTATCAGGTTCGTGTCCCAATATTAAGCCAGAGAACAGTTCTATTATCACGAAACCGGGCTTCCAGACTGGAACCGAGCCAATCTCCACCGCGGCGCTCGTTTGCTGCCCGCCCGTCTCATGCCTGGCCATGCATACACGCATTACAACTCTCTCTCTCTCTCTCTCTCACTGCCTGCGCACACTCTCTGTGTATATGAATATATGTATATATATATATATATATGGATATGGATATATGTAGCTATGTGTGTGTGCAAGGTTGACAAACGAATAATGCAGTTCTTAAATAAGAACCTACTTTTTTTCAGGTTGTGGGGTCTCTAGGTAAGCGGATACAAGAACTACAGACACAATGATATAACGACGTAAATCAAACAAATATCCACAACGATATAGTAACAGCTGCTTCAACTTGTAAAACGAATGACGAAGTGTATCTGTAGCATATATTCGCCTACACGAAAATCTAACACATGCACACGTATATGTATATATATATATGTACATACATACATACCTACATACAGTTACATACATACATACCTATATATATATATGTATGTACACATGATTTATAGACATGGAAGCGGCCATGCTCATCGTGTGGCTTGGTTGAGCACCCTTGCACCTTTGAGCGACCGAGATACAGCAGACAAGATGCTGCAGCTTGTTTTCCTCACCTCGGGCACTCCGAAGGTCTCGCTGTAAGCTGGGCGGCGGCTTGGGCTACTGCTTCCGCTTGAACAGCGCAGCACCGGAAACTCCGTCGTTCAACTCGCTAACGCTGTTCTTGACATCGTTGTAACCTGTCTGGACGTCGGGTTCAAGTTCTTTCGGCTTCTTGATGACATAGCAGCTTTGTCTGAGCCGAGCCAGGACACTGAGTCAATGCCATCCTCCGAGAGCTTCTTGTTGCAGTCGCTGACGCCGGTCTCCTTCAGGGCCTCTGCATGTCCCTTGAGCCTTGAGTGTCGAGCCGAGGCGAGGAACTGCCATCCTTCTTCCTTCTTCTCGCAAAGCTCAAGGAATCTCTTGTACGACGCTGGATTCTTGCAGCTTCGAAAGCCAGTGGCAATGTTGCATTGAGGAGGCTGGTGCACCGAAACGGCCTGAAGCAAGGATGGACCTTTCTGAAGCTCTGTGTCCTCCAGATCCTGGCCCACTCGGACTGCATCTTGCGAGGTCTGGGGCGCTGGGTCGATGTGCTCCTTCTCCAAGTCCTCGAGCACGGCGCGGGGCTGAACGCTGTTGCAGAGGCGTTCCCGGCTGGAGCCCTTCAGGATAATGCCCTCGGCACAGCACCGCGCATTCCAGTCTCTCTGCTCGGACGCATCCATAAAGGGCCACAGCTGACACTGCTGCTCATCCCAGCCGCACTCCTCCGCGCAACAGGTCAGGACTTCGGCCTCGACCTTTCGCACCACGCTCCGCGCACACAGCTCCGGTACACTCATGGAGCCAATTTTTCCGAAGGATGATGGGATAACAAGCGTTGCCTGCACCAGGGTGGGGGCCAAGGCTCCAGACATCATTCTAGACATCGCTCGATCAAAGTATCCGTGATTGTTCTGCAGCTCATCTCTCATTCGGCCCAGGAGATCATGGCACTCGTCGGTGCAGACGTTCTTCAGAAGCTGCTTCCAGCTGTCTCTGGTCTGCTCCTTTCTGTCCAGAACCGTGTAGAGTCGAGTGTTGCTTTCGGGCTGCGGATCTTGCACCGGATGTTCTGGATGCAAGAGCTCCTCGTCGGCCAACTCTGGCGACAGTTGCCCATCCAAGGCCGTCTGGCAGATCTTCTGGGCTTCCTCGTGGCCTAAAGCTTTTTTGACTTTAGCCTCAAGCTGGTTCTCCAAATAATTCCCGTCGGTCGTCTCGGGGAGCTCCTTCTTAGCCAAGTCGTAGAGTCCCGCACAAAACTTCAAGGCATGATTCTGGATGTGACTGTAAGCATTGCGCTGCTTGAGTTGCTGCTGGAGCTGCTTCCTCCGGACCCGCACTTCGAAGGACTGCAAACTCCGTGGAAGCACTGGAAGACACCAGCCTCGGCTTTGTGAAACAACGGCTCCGGGGAAGACTCAAATTCGACCCACTCGGGCCCGGGCATTCTTTTGGGTCGTCAACTTGAGCTGGCAAGAACTTCAAAGGTTCAGCCGAAATATCAGCTGGTAAGTATAGCTCTTCGATTTTTTTGCCACAGCCAGCTCCAAAGAGCTGATGAGTGGGGCACACACACGTTGAGGAACGCCAGGAGGCTCTGCGAGCACTTTGGACTCCTCAGGTTCCATATTCCGGGGGCTTAGAAAGATTCGGAAAGCCAAACATCTTGTGACATGCTCTGCTAAACATCCCAAACCCGAATTACATGACGATATGTGTGTAAGTATGTTCATGTACATAAATACACGCATACACACTTGTCACACGTATAGGAAACATACCGTCATAAGCACCGCCACTAACCGCTACTTGGTCACACCTTTGTACCTAGCGTCTCACATGAATAGGTAATGGGCTCATAAGAGGCAGGGGCGCCCTCCTTCCGAAAACCCTATCGCTCCTACCAGCTCTCCAAGCCAAGGACTCGAGCCCTGGAGTTGAAATCTTACATAACCCTTACCTGTAACCAAAGATCCCGAACTGAGGAAGTGTACTACAGCCAACAAACTTACGTTCAGAGTCCAGTCCTGCTAAGCTCGAAGCACTATAAACCTACTTCGTAATTTGCAAGAAGTATATGGCGCAATGTCTTTCCGAAAACCTAATTACGAGCTGTATCCGCAAGCCTCAGCTACTAGCATTCAGTGCACCCAAGCCCTGATCGTATAATTCAGGCGTGCCAAACACCCAACTAAACATCCCTAACCCGAGAACATCAGGAACCGTATCACTTTAAAAGTACACGTCCTCCACAAGAAGCTGGGGAGAACGGCCACCAGCTTTCAAGGTCTGATGACCGCGTCCCCGACACCCGGAAGAGAGTGCACACGAAGGTCCTTGGACGAGGCACATCTCGCCCATGTTCTGTTTGGTCCTTTCTGGCAGAATACCTCTTTTTCTCGCTGCAAGGCTCAATGCTCTTGGGTTTGATGCAGCAAATTCAATGCCAAGCACCCGAATCCCCTCTGCCACTTTCAGGCCAGGCTTCAAAGCTTTAGCAACCAACACGGGCATCGGGGTGAGGCACGGCAGCGGCGGCCGCGCAACAGCGCCACATCAGGCTGACACATGAGATCTTTTGTGTGTCTGAGCCGGTACGACACCCATAGCTAGCATAACAGCAACATGGTATATCTGATGCAGCAACGCTTCGGCTCCTACATCTCCTCCCCGCTACTGACAACAAGCCTAGCTAAGTGGCGCTTGATTCCTCTATGCAGAGGGAGGTCCCGCCCCCAAATCCGGTCTCCCAAACCCAGAACACAGGACACTGAAAGAATCGAATACCTTGTCGACGGTCACAAGAAGTGTGGTTTATGGGGTTCAAGATGTTACCAACAAGATCAGGGTACAAACCTCCCTCGTAGTTAAGCGTACCTGGATTTCTTTGCATGAACAGAGCCACCAGGACCCCCGCCTGCTTCCAGTATGAGACACTATAGTGCAGGCCAGAACGATTGTGCCTGGTTTCGGGGCTTGAAGAGCATAACGAAGTCTGACTAGAGAATTGCCAAGAAGACCTTCTGAGACTTTTTGAAAGCCTGCTGGTTTTCAAGGTTCTTTAAGGCGGGCATATACGATTTCAACAACGACAGCCCCCTAGTCAAAAAGACACCTCGGAGAGCACCGGTTCTCTGCTTGGCAGTGAGGTGTTGAAACACTGGATGCCGGTACGCTTCAGCTCTATGCCAAAATGTGAGTTCGATGTTAAATGACGACCCTGAGCCTGATAAACCCGGGAAATACGAACTCTGGTCATTCGGGAATCGGTCGAATGTTTGCACTCTCCGGGTTTTCCGTCTAGGCTAAGTGGCTTGGGTCTAGTGCCCAGATGATTGAATCCTCACGTCCGGTCATTGCAGACTTGGCGTCTTGAGCTTCGCTTTTCACAGTAACTCTCTGAAGCCTTTCCTCCGGCACGAACACAACCCTCTCTTGGAGAAGTACTTCTCGGGTGTCAAGTGGGTTTGTCAACTGCTTCTATTCGGATTGCTCCAGCAACGGCTATGGGGAACATACGGGCATCTTGTTGTCCACACGCTGTTGTCTGCGAGCTTCTATGGGATACGAAGCTGGGTAGTGACTGAATCCACCAATGCCTTGATAAAAGCTCTTATGAGCTACACAGTTTCAGATGCTGGGCCCACATGAGTGTGTTCTTGAGCGCATTCCTGTATGGTAGTTCCAAATTCAATCAACACCGTGACACCTTGCAGACCTTTTGATCAAGCTGCTTTAAGAAGTCGCACAGTAGCCCAATCTGCGCTCATAGCTTCAGTGCGTGGCGGACAGCTTGAAGAAATGAAGTGGGTACTGCCCATGTTTTGACATGACGTGCGTCATGCGTGTGATCTTGAGTTTACACTGGTGTGCGTCTTCCCGGACTCCTTCTGAGTTGAGTCTTCGGTGCATGCTGTCACTTGGGAAACGTTCCACGATTTGCAGCTGAAGCGGTTCAGCTTGTTTTCTTGTTCTTGACAGGGCTTTCGTGGGCTGTCAGAACCTGCTGCTTTGCTTGACTTTGTTTTGTGCAGCACTTTGTAATCCAGTTGCTAGGGTGGCAACCTGGCCGGATACAGCTGCGCAACACTCACCGTATTTTTCCATATGGGTGGTTGTCAAAATTATGGTCCCATTTTGGGTCCGATTATAATACGGCACCTATTATTTAGGGTACCCCAAAGGGACCATAATTTTGACAACTCCCCCTATTCCTCAAAGAAACGACCTCGTGGACGCAGATCTTCCACACGCAGCCTTCCCAAGAAGATCCGGCGCTATTTCCGGCGCCACGTTGTTCCGTTCCTTACGCACCTGCTCTTGAGCAGTGTTCGGGCTTTGGTGCCACATTTTCTTTCCTACATGAGACAAAGATGTCCGTGGTGGTTGATATTGATGCATGTAGATGCCCGTGTGTCCCTTCCTGCTAGACTTGCTCCACCTTCGCTGCCGTCTTGCATGTCCCGTACGCTTCCGGCCACCTTCCAGGTGGATACCACTTCTTGGGGCAGTCTGCCCGAGCATCGCATGTTACATTTCTTGTTCGATGCCCTTCGCATGCGGGCTTGCGGGCTCAACATCCCCAAGGAACGGATTGAAGCTTGGAAGTGGTTGCTTCTCAAGTGCAGACCGCCTTCAGGCCTAGGTGGGATGTGTTTCTCCTTGGGTGTCAGGGTTGTTCTAGGCTCAGGTTCTTTAGATACTTTCCTTGCTGCCTTTTTCCCTTGTCAGCTGTAGGGTATGTAGCTGTAGTGGCTCTTGGCTGCTTCGCTGCCGAGTTCGCTGATGAAGGGGCGCGGCAAGTTTGATGACCGCTCGTGGTCCAGCTCCTCGAGCTACGGTGGATGGAAAGGGAAAGGCTATGGTAAAGGCAAGCGACCCTACTACAGGCCTGCCCCATACCAGCGCAAGGGGCAAGCGCAATCCCTAGGGGATACTGTTGCAAACTCGTTCCAGTGTGCCATGGGGGCAACTGTGGAGCACATGATCAGTGAGGGTTTTCTTTCTTGACAAATAGACGTTGCAGCCACGGTGTAGCCGAACTTGTGCCGCAACAGCCAAGGCCTACGGAGACCACACCACCTGCAGGGGCAGGGCGTACTCTTGCAAAGGCAGTCGTCAGCATCTTTGGCAAAGGTACTGGTTCAGACACATCTGCAGAGCCTCAAGTGCCTGATCCTGTTTGTCCACACACGTCGTCAAGGCTCCAGGAGCAGAACCGTGTGCTTCAACAAGCTCTTGAGCAACAAACGAAGACGCTTGCTTTGGTAACCGAACTTGCCAAGACTAGTTACCGTGCTGATAGAGAGGCTCATGAGGCAACGATGCCGGTTGACCTGGAGGCAGACGCCTCGCAGGCAGCACAGATGAAAGCCATGCAAGCCCAATTCGATCACATCACAACGAGGGCAAGTTTACCAAGCCTTCTCCAAGCCCCAGTGCCGCTACTAAGCAGCTGGACCATTCGACCTTTTTTTCGCGGCCAGCGCGGGGTAACAACTGACTATCTTCAGACGCGAGGCCCACCCTGTTAGCAGTTTTCACTGCTGTCGGTGAGGGTCTGATTGCTGCAGTCTTCACGGCAGTCAAGTGGGTTTGCCAACTGCTTCTATTCGGACTGCTCCTACGACGGCTATGGGGAACATACGGGCATCTTGTTGTCCACACGCTGTTGTCTGCGAGCTTCTATGGGATACGAAGCTGGGTAGTGACTGAATCCACCAATGCCTTGATGAAAGCTCTTATGAGTTACACAGTTTCAGACGCTGGGCCCACATGAGTGTGTTCTTGAGCGCATTCCTGTATGGTAGTTCCGAATTCAATCAACATCGTGACACCCTTTTGATCAAGCTGCTTCGAAAGAACTTCGCACAGTAACCCACTCCCCGCTCATAGCTTCAGTGCGTGGCGGACAGCTTGAAGAAATGATGTGGGTACTGCCCATGTTTTGACATGACATGCATCATGCGTGTGATCTTGAGAAGTACCTCTCGCAATGGCGCTTGCAAAGGAAGTTCTGCGAACCCATGGCTTCGGATACATCTAGAGCTAATATAAACAAAGTACAGGGGCCAGAATAATCAGAACAAGGTTTTCGGGTTTCGGCGTACTATAACAGAGTTATGGTGGGATATCCTAAGGAAGAGCTAAATAGCATGACGTCCAACGCTGCATTCCCTTCGGCCCCCAGCCCTGACCCTCCACCTCCCAAAAAACCGCAACTCGACACCAAGCCGAAATCCGAAACTTGAAGCCAGAAGCCAGGAGTCTCCAGCCTGAAGCAGAAGCCTACTCGTGTGGAGAACTTGGCCCTACCGGGTTGACCCTCGCTCCCAGGGGACGCTTGGGCGGTCTTTTGTCTTAGGTAGGGCATAGAAGGGCCTTACTGGCTCCTTCAATTTAAGGGTGCTAATGATTTCTGAGGGCGGAAAAATGTGTGACACTAACACGGCAACGCTGCCAGCGCTTGAGTACTTGCTTCGAGGTATCGGTATCGGTGAGCAACATGTCCGGGAATGTGCATGGCAGGAGTTTGCAATGCTGAGGGATGCTGCAGGACTGTTTCGCCTTTCTGCTCCCGGGTGTTTGACAGGCTACAAAATAGACATCTTGATGTCGACAGAGTGCCGTAAAGTGGCTCAAGAAATCTCCAGTCCGCAGAACCTCGCACCCACCAGACTCAATTTCAGTCAAGCCAAGGACTCCTAGATCGCAGAGACCCTAAAAGGATCCGGGGTTGCTGCAAAAAGCCCCCGGTGACCACCTGAAGCTTTTCGTACCTCACGATGCGCTAACCCGCACAATCCGTGCACTCTAGACTCTAAGCCCTCTACAAACAATCATTGTTGAACCATAAAAGTCAGCAATTCGGGTCCTATTCGGGCCTCTGATCTGGAATGGTGGGAGTGCCTTGCGATGCGGCGAAGGCGGCACCATCGACCTGGCTTTTGAAAAAGTTTTGTCTGAGATCTTGCTTTCATGTGGGTGTCAGGGCGCCTCACAAAGCCTTCAAGCAGGGGAGCCATCAGAGTAAACACTATATCACAGTCGTACATAAGCAACCGCACCAAATGCTTGTAGGATGATCATAGTGGTCATGATACGCACAAGGCTAGCAAGAATGAAGATCAAAGCAATGAAGACGCCCTGCAACAAACCCATGCAGCACCCAGGAGGCTCGAACCGGGCACATGTCACTCACGCCACCACATACCGAAAGCTCTCAGCGCGGAGAATGCTGGAACCCATCGACTAGTTTGGGCTTGGCGCTGCATGTTATAGACCGATTTCAGAACAGGCCGCTCAACGTTCGAGCCCTATAATATCCCTAAGCCACGCAACCCCCAACCCGTCACACTCACTTCAAAACCCCTGAGATCAGCCTGAGAGCCCAAAGGCTTCAATATGTTTCAACTAGTTGTTCTAATTTTGCAAACAGAGGTGCCGATGACAAACTGACCAAGATATATTGCCTAGCAAATCGGTACAAGTACAGTACCCCAATGCCAAACACC